ACAGAGTGCAAACGAATACGAACTAGCAAGGTTTGGGACAGTTTCACAAAACTTAAAACCAACAATGCTGTCTTGTGCAATACATGCAAAGGCAGAACTTGCTTTTCACGGGAGCACCACATGCATGTTGGAGCACTTAAAGAGGAAACACCCCCGGCAAAAGAGGAGCCGTTGAGAATTGAGTGTTCAGCTTTAGCTAACTAACTAGTGGTAAATTTAAAAACTGAATCAAAAAGTTAAACAAACATCTTTAAGATGTTTTCTTTACACGTGAAATAAAGAAAACAGTTACAAACTGAAACGGGAAGTGTTTCTGGACCAGTGTTGTTTACATCTTGCAAAATGGTCTATATATATTTTGTTCCATAATCATGAAGATTTATAAAAGGAGATGTTAGGAAGAATATCATGGCAGTTACTTTTTCCTTTTTCATATTGTAAATTAAAAGGTGGATGAAAACGTCTCTGTCTTCTTACAAAAGATTGTAATAATTTTATATTTATAATAATGGTTTGCAGATTAATATTTTACCATTTTTTCTGTACTGAAGTAAATGACCCTTTTTCTGTTTCAGTTCTAAGAAAAGCAGTGGTCCTATTAAACAACGCTTAGAGAGCATTTGTGTGTGATTTGAGTTCAACTTAAAGAGAATGACCTGTTTAGTTTGGTTCAAAGTTCATTTCAAAGAGCTGAACGCTGAATTTTCTTTTTTTATATATAGTTAAGAATATATGTATATACTCAATGTTTTAAATTGAAAAAGCTAAATAATCGTTCCAAACTTGATGATTAGCCGGCAAAAAGATTGACGATCAGTCGATAATAATCGTTAGATTAATTGATTATCAAAATAATCGTTTGTTGCAGCCCTAACCATAAGCGCACAATAGGTCACGTGACAAGAACCAACCGGAGCGCAACCGCCCTAGCGTTTGGAAAAAGGAGAATTGTGGCGCGCCAGCGTTTTCTACACGTTTTTAGGCGCTATATGTGAATCCGGCCTTTCCTCTGTAATGCTAGGCCGTTTTGATCTACATGCGGCTAAACGTTTGCGGATCTATTATGTTTAACACAGATCTTCTTCGATTGTTTTTGGATCTGATGATTCCGTACTATTTCAGAAGGTCTGTAATAGGGTTGGGCGACGTCTACCAATTTGGCATCAGACGATGTCTATAGTGAAACATCACGATGGACGATGATATTGGGAGGGAGTGTGTGTGTGTGTGTGTGTGTGTGTGTGTGGGGGGGGGGGTATTTTCGTAATATTCTCATTTTCCACTACATATTTTCCTCTATATCTTATCAGCAATTTCGAATTCGGCACTCTCTACAGCAGCTGAGCACAGAGCGAGTCTATGGAGCGAATGTACAGTGACATGACTGCCAGATTCAAACTGCGTGCTTGCGCTATGGCTCTCTTCCGGCTTAATAATAACAGTTACAGCGCCAAATAAACATGAATGAACATCTGAAAGTATGTTAAAAGATAGACTACAACTTATCGAAATCCGTATCATGTCACATTGATTCGCTCAATCAGCGTTTCAACCGTGGAAAGACGTCAGTTAAACAGCTTGTAATCAATGTCATGTATCGTCATATTTACCTCAGAAAACCCACATAAACTCGTTAGTCAGCTAGAAAAAATAACTCTAGAGAGGAGCATTTTGCTAAATATGTACACCATATTACATATGCATTATAATCTCAAATGTTCTTCAATATTTAATGCATATTTGAATAAATCTGGCAAGTTTTTATGACAGCCACCATTTAAATGTTTATATTTCATATAATCTTCTTATTATAAAAATAAATAAAAGTGTAATTTAAGTGTTTGTATGGCTACAAAACAGTTCATTATTACCTTCATATTAGGCTAATGAAGCCTATTGGCTACAACTAGACTCCCATAGTTTACAGGATTTAAGAGATATGATTCCCTTGAGAAAAATGGCCATTTATTGTAACTGATATCCAAAATAATCGATATTGAATCGAAATCGAATCGAAAGCTTGTGAATCGAAATCGAATCGAATTGTGAAATTTGTCTCAATACCCAGCCCTATAATATATTATATCAAAACAATACATTTTTAGTTTGAAAAATACACAATGGTGTCTACCCATTCAAATAATTGACGACGGTTTTTATTCATATCAGATAGATACTGTGTAAATAATTATAAAGTCAACTCTATTTTTCTCGGCCACTTACTTTCATGTATTTTGGGAGAAACTGATGAATTCCCGCACTGTAATAAATCCAACAGACAGAAATATCTGAACTACGGCCCAAACACGGCGTCCATCTCACGTTACAGATAAAGATCTTTACCTTTCCTTTTTTTAAACGACAAAACAAACTCACTAACACATTTGAGAATCGGAATATGAGAATGGTAAGCATCATGATATGGTAAGCGGGGGGTGATGCCATCTAAACCTCGTTATCTGACGATGATATCGTCCATCGGCCGAACCCTAGTCTGTAACAGTAATGCCTCCTTCCGTATAACAGCGAAGAGTTAAAAGTTGACCGTTTTTTTGAAAATGTCATTTGCAAGAGTCTTCAAAAGAAGTAGTATGCGACCAGAATGGTCAAACATTTGTTTAGTGCATGTTTGCATAGAAAAAGAAAAGCAGAAACGCAACTATGTGAACGACCCCTTCCTGGAGAACAAGCCAGCTCCAGCTTCCATTTGATCACAGAGAGAGAGCAAAGCAACTTAAACCACGTGAGCAGGACAAAGGTTTTTGGACATCAACGCGGTACTTTGACACACAATCTCCTTTCGTGGACTCTTATCTTACCTTTCAGAGTGTCTTGCTCAGCCCTCATGATGTCGATCAGAGAGTTCTCCAGAGAATGCATGTTAAAGCCGTCGAATGAACGGGGACGATCCTGTGAGGGGAGAAAAGGAGGATGGGTATCAAGAAAAAACCAACTACGATGGCATTTCTCATATCCCTCAGCTCTGCGGGAGTATCCCTTTCATCTACAATAAAGCTCAAGCTGTTGTGCTTTTGTTCCTCTCAAAGAACTATATCCTGTTGAAAGGAAGTCACAAATGAAAGGCTCAACAGAGGCTCTAGATCAAAATATAAATCCAATTTGGTGCTCACTACTCACTTGACCCCTATATCATGTGGCTAATGTCTGTGTGACAACAAGTCTAATGATTGACATGACTTATAAACACAAAGGTTGAGAAAGCAACAGCGGCTTGATAAAAAAAAAAAACACCAGCAATGAAGTTTCAACTTGACGGTTCCTCTGGGTTTATGCGGTTGGGTTACAATGACCAACAACTCAAACCATGCGCACAGCCACACACTCATATTTAAAAGGGAGAAAGCCATCTTTAAAGGGTTAGTTCACCCAAAAATGAAAATTCTGTCAGTATTTACTCACCCTCATGTTATTCCAACCCCGTAAGACCTTCGTTCATCTTCGGAACACAAATTAAGATATTTAAGATATTAAGATAGCTCCTGCATACAGTCCATAGGCTTCTTGAGGGACTGGCTCTTGCTGTCCTCGAAAAGTCATTAAAGACATCGTTAAAATAGTCCAAGTGACTACAGGGGCTCAATCTTAAGTTTATCAAACGACGAGAACACTTTTGTGCGCAAAAAAACAACAAAAATAACGACTTTATTTCAACTATTCGTTTATTTCTCCCCCTGCGCGAGTCAGGTTACTAGTTTAATAGCGTAAGCTTCTGTTATTGTACGTCACACGCATCACACACACATGACCAGCGTCGGCCAATAGTGAGCCTACGTGTGACGTAGCTCTACGCAATCACACTACGTTAACTGACTTACAGGCTCATGGAGAAGGAAGTGAATAGTTGAAATAAAGTCGTTATTTTTGTTGTTGTTTTTGCGCACAAAAGTGTTCTCGTCGTTTGATAAACTTAAGATTGAGCCCCTGTAGACACTTGGACTATTTTAACGATGTCTTTAATGACTTTTCGAGGACAGCAAGAGCCAGTCCCTCAAGAAGCCTATGGACTGTATGCAGGAGCGATCTTAATATCTTAAATATCTTAATTTGTGTTCCGAAGATGAACGAAGGTCTTACGGGGTTGGAACAACATGAGGGTGAGTAAATACTGACAGAATTTTCATTTTTGGGGTGAACTAACCCTTTAACAAAGAGATAAAGCCTGAGATTAGCTATTTACATGACAAATGACTCATACAGAGCCTAAAAAACCACAGGTTCAAGAATATTCTTACCAAGAGATCAAAATAGCCTAATTGAACAGTTGCATTAGCCAAAAAGACTTTCAGTGTGTGCAATCCCTGGAAGCTAAATTTATGGTTTTGGCATGCTCTACCAGATAAACGACACGATTTATTATTGGATTGAGTAAAAAACAAAGATGCATCAAAATCACAGGAGAGCCTGACTGATGGGCAAGGTAAATAAATGAAGAGTTTAAATGGATTAGGATATTCCCTTTACCTCGTAATGCTATTGTCCACCAAAAGCAAACAATAACAGAATCTAGGTCTTCCCGTCAAGGTCTAGGTCGTCCTGAAGGTCACAAAGACGTTCAACAATCACGTCAACACAGGCATAAACGCATGACCAAAGCATTAGAGCAACAAACCTTCGCACGTGAAGGGGTGACAGAGTTCCCTTCAAATAATGTCTACGCCAATTAGGGGTGTCAATTTACCATGACAATTACCATGATCAATTGTCTTTTTAAATTACGATCAATTAACCGTATGTAGCCAACAACATGACAGGGTGTGCAAATGCTGCTTAAAACCACATGTTTCTCACTAAAAGAATGGGAAGGGTAGTAAGTCTAAATTAAGGGCTAGTACGATAGTAAAATGAGTCGATGTGATTGATCATTTAAATTATTTAATAATCAAATATAATGACCGATACAACATACATTCCCTTAAAGCTCCTATACATGACTTCACTTTAGCCCAGATCTGTACGTTTCTACGCGAGTGTGATGTTGTATGACAATAGTGTATGATGTCCAGTTTTTCCTCTTATAACCATTAACAAAGTCTGCAAGTATATAACGCATAGTGCTTTAAATCAGTCCAAATTTTTAAAGTCATACAGTGTATTCCAGCATTATATGTGGAATCATGCTTTGTATTCCCATTCTTGCATTGTGCGATTCAGGAATAAAACAACCCATAGCCCATTTAGAACTAATCTTAAATTATACATACTACACTGTAATTTTTTTTAAATCTGTTAAATTAAAAACCCGGCAGCTGTGGTTGATATACCGTAAAAAATACGGTAGCAACATTTTAGGTTTTATAGACTTAACTTAAATTTACAGTTAAAATGTTTATTTCAAAATCTGATATAAATGTTAATTTACCGACATATTGAAGTACTAATATCTATTTTGTGCCATTGTAATACACTGACAAACAAATGATGAATCAAAGCTCATCACAAGCAGCTTTTCTACAAGCTGAGAAAGTTCATGATAATATTCAGAAACTGCACATTGTCATTCAAACAAACACTAAACACCATCATGGTAACACGCATGAAATTTTAAATGCAACAAACATTAATTTAACAACATTAAATGTTAGATAAAACAGATTTAAAAAAAAAAAAATTTTTTTCACTGTAAATTATACAATGATTTGTTATTTTTTCATGTCTACGCAATACTACACACATGGCACCGTTTATCGTTAATATAACACGCGAACCCAAGGCGTCATAAATCCTTTAGCGTTAATATGAGACTAGCCTACCCTACCCCACACCTAAACCTACCCATCACAGCGCGTTATATTAACGATAACGGGTGCGATGTGCGTAGTATTTCGCCGTTTTGTCATATAGCGTCATATTTGACGCTAAAGGATGAGAATGCGTTGGTCATTCATAAAAGTATCGATACTAATAAATTTAGGTATCGGGAGGTTTTTCATTTCCGAGTATTGCGATACTTTTGAAGTATCGGTGCATCGTGCAACACTATTTTAAACACACGAAACCTGTCCACTGCAACATATACAATGCCACCAGGTTCAGCTAGCTATTTATATAAATAGCTACCGTGTTGTACCCGAGCTCCAGCATGATTAACGGCACAATCTGCTCGTGCTCAGTCAGATCTGGCAACTGCTGGGACCTTCAGAGCACCACTCATCCCCCTCAGCTTAGAGAGGCCGTGTGCTCACGCAGGGCACTTATGCCACTGATGCCGAACACGAGAGCAGGCCAAAGGCCGCATTCAGAATAGCTGCACGGAGTATTCTGCCGAGAGCCCTTCGATGAAGAACCAACCCCATTGAAAAAACTGCATTATATACACCATGTCTTATTAAAAAGGCGTTAATAAGCACATCCCACACCTTAACGCGAGAGCTATTTCGGGTTTAACTATAATTAGACTGTGCACAGGGCTTGCTGACTCAAAGGCCTTTACCCACCAGGGGCATGTTTTCAGGTCATCATAGTTCAAGCGATATGGAAAAAAGTCTGCTGTGAGCTTTTCAGAACGGGACCTTGATGGAACACCCTGATGTGAGTGATTAAGCGTGGCATGTTACGGCTGATTTTAGGAACGACGTTAATCTGAAATGTCATGGCTAAACTAATGAAAAGGGGAGACGGGGAGAATGAGCGGCAAAGGCTTGACATTGTTTTTTATGTTGCAGCAAAAGGAATTTCAAAGCCTTCCACATCAAATCACTCTAAAGCCTATTAATCTGGCCTTTCTGCACGGTTGGGAAGGCAGGGGGTATGGAAACTTTCCACAGGGGAGCGCAACTTACTCCGCTGATAAAGTAATTAAAGTGTAGAAACTGAGCTCTCGCTCAGATAGATGGTCAAATAACAATGAGCGCCATGGTCATATCCCAGTCGTGGACCTTTTCCCATTGGAGAACTTTATGACAAAATCCTGAAAAATATATATTACAACAGTATCATTTACTACGGCAGCATCCCACAAATAGATACAATTTCAGAACTCAAGAGTTGAAGGAAAGAATGAAGCCAAGTTCACCCGGAGTCACCCTCATGTTGTTCTAAACCCACTAAATGTAAATTAAGATATTTTAATGAAACCTGAGGTTTATTTCCCTCCACCTAAAGTCCAAGTAACCAAAACTTTGAAGATCCAAAAACGTCATAAAACGTGTCGTACAAATCCGTATGAATCAAGCAGCTTCATCCAAGTCTTGTGAGGACATTCAATCACTTAAAGGAGTAGTTCACTTTTCAAAAAACGTTTGCTGATAATTTACTCACCCCCATGTCATCCAAGATATCCATGTCATTTATTCTTCAGTCGAAAAGAAATTAAGGTTTTTGATGAAAACATTCCAGGATTTTTTTTTCCATATAATGGACTTCAATGGGAACCAAACGGTTCAAGGTCCAAAAGACAGTTTCAGTGCAAACTGTTCAAAGGGCTTTAAACGATTCCAGACGATAAATAAGGGTCTCATCAAGCAAAACGGTCGATCATTTAAAAAAAAAAAATTAACAAAGTTTACGTTTTATAAGCTCATATGGTCGTCTTGCTCTGTTCTGTGATGCGCGTTCGTGAATCTCCTGTTCAAACTCGTTCATCAAAATGAACAAATCTTTTTTCGTGTCATTTGGTTAATTCAACGAACGAAATGAACGAGTTGACTCGGGAAAAAATTTGCTCATTTTGATGAACGAGTTCGAATAGGAGAGTCACGCATCACAGAACAAAGCAAGGCGACATTTGAGCTTATAAAACTTAAGCTTTGTTACTTTTTTTAAATGAGCGATCGTTTCGCTTGATAAGACCCTTATTCATCGTCTGGAATCGTTTAAAGCCCTTTTGAACAGTTTGCACTAAAGCGGTCTTTTGGACCTTGAACCGTTTGGTTCCCATTGAAGTTCATTAT